TAGTCAATTTATAATCATTGGGGGCCACAAAGAGTTGAGTTGAGATCAAGTCAATACTGCACAGACAGCAGTTGATTGAAAATCAGGAGTAGAGCCCAAGACACAGGACAGCCAAATAATGTGTAGTGGCCAAGTCAATGGAGAGGCGAAGAAGATGTAGGGCCCAAATTAGCACATGGGAAAAAAAATTGGAGGACTAAAGTAAAGTCAGGGTCCAAGGTCATGCAAGACGCAAATAATATGGGGCACCCAAACAAATAAAATGGGTATGAGGAAAAAGAATGTAGGTCGCAAGAACACGCAGGGCCAATGTGAGCGTAGGGGCGAAGGAAGTGCAGGGGCAAAGTGTACAGAGGACCCAGGTCCGAGTCAACATAGGGCCCAAATGAGCCAACGGTTGATATCAAAAAAAGGGCCCAAGAATGCACAGGTGATGCAATTAAAGTGGGACCAAAGAAAAGGTAGGGCCCAAATTGATTTAAGACCAAGGCATTCTACAGGTGAAGTGTACGCAGCCCCAACAGGATTTAAGTGCAATAGTGATGGGCAAACGTACACCGAAAGACGTATGGAAGACCCAAATAATACATAGACCCCAAAAGACAGCCGGGGCCCAGATTACGGAGAACTGAAGGCAATGTATGGTCCAAGCACATGCTACACATGCACTTACAGAGGGCTCAAACAATGATAGGAGGTCTAAAACTAACGTAGGGACAAACGTAGGTGTAGAACCATATACAATGTAGGCCCCAAGAACACAGTGGGCCAATGTGCAGGTACAGCCCATTGGAGAGCAGTGGGGAGTTGTGTCAGGGCCAAAGTCAATATAGGCAGCAACTGACTGAGGTATGTCAAAAGTGCACGGATGGCCAATAAAGGAAGCCAAGGATACGTACGGCCCAATGACGTGCAGTGACAACAAAGACGGTCAAAGACATATGAGGATAGAAGACAACGTAGGACCCAAGGAAGGACAGGTTCAAATATAAGGAAGGGCACAAAGAAGCACAAGGTGGAAGAAAACGTAGGACCCAATAATACACAGGTGATGCAATTTACGTGGTACAAGAGTCAACGTAGGGCCCAAAGGTATGTAGGACCCAAGTATACACAGGCACAAATGATTTGGTGTGCCAAAGTGGATGACAAATGTACACCCAAGTACATGCAGAATAGCCAAAGAATACGTAGGGCCCCAAAGTCCACTTGGGCAAAAATTATGGAGAAGTGAAGGCAAGGTAAGGTCCAAGCGCATGCAACACCAAAGGGTACGGAGGGCCCAAAGAAAGAAAGGAGGACCAAAGGCAACGTAGGGCCCAAATGATCACAGGGGCAATAATTGGTAGGACCCAAATATTTGGAGGGCCAAAGTTAACATAGGGCCCAGATCAGAGCATGGGTGAGGTGTACATAGCGCACAGGTCGATAAAGGGCCCAAGTGGGTGAGGCAAGTCATGAGTGCACAGAGGGCCAAGCGATTGGGGAAGCCAGGGATGCCATGCGGAGAAAAGACATATGAGGGCTAAAGACATTGTAGGGCCAAGGGAAGCACAAGGCCAAAGTAAAAGTAGAGCACAAGTAAACCCAAGGTGTAAGTCACCGTAAGGGCCAACAATACACTAGGAGTCAGTAGTATGTTTAACAAGTAGAGTGTAACACATAGTTTGGTTGAGCAGTACACTGGGGAACCCAGAGTGTTACATACAGGGGGGGGGCCCAACACAACGGAAAATGAAATAGTACATATGAGCCAAGGACAAGCAGGGCCAAAGAATAGACAGGGCGGGTAAAGACGAAGGAGGATGAAAGACAACGTAGGGCCCAAGACAAGTAGGATGCATAATATTAGTGGTAACGTACAACCCAAGGAAGGACATGTTGGAAGTCAATGGGGGCCCACAAACCATAGCCCAGTGAGGGGAGTAACTGTAGTATGTGTAGTGCAAGCAAAGACAGGCCCAAGTAGTGTGCAGGTTCCAAAGTCACGCTGGGCCAAGGGGAGCGCATGGCCCAAGTGTTACGCAAGGTGGTTAAGCAGTACAGCGTAAAACCCGTAGTGTGACGAAACCGTACGCTCGCGTGCTCATTTCTCGCCTGAAGCGAGAAATTGACCGCTCACACTTGCCCAAACGGCTCATTTCTCGCCTGAAGCGAGAAATTGACCGCTCACACTTGCCCTTATGGTACATCCCCATGGCAGATTTCTCCCCTGAAGCGAGATTTCGACCGCTACACATGTCCACACGGTCAATTTCTCACCTGAGGTGAGAAATCAGCCACACACATTTACCCTTGTGGTACATCCCCATGGCAGATTTCTCCCCTGAAGCGAGATTTCGACCGCTCACACTTGTCCACACGGTCAATTTCTCACCTGAGGTGAGAAATCAGCCACACACATTTGCCCTTATGGTACATCCCCATGGCAGATTTCTCCCCTGAAGCGAGATTTCGACCGCTCACACTTGTCCACACGGTCAATTTCTCACCTGAGGTGAGAAATCAGCCACAGACATTTGCCCTTATGGTAAATGCCCATGGCAGATTTCTCCCCTGAAGCGAGATTTCGACCGCTCACACTTGTCCACACGGTCAATTTCTCACCTGAGGTGAGAAATCAGCCACAGACATTTGCCCTTATGGTAAATGCCCATGGCAGATTTCTCCCCTGAAGCGAGATTTCGACCGCTACACATGTCCACACGGTCAATTTCTCACCTGAGGTGAGAAATCAGCCACACACATTTGCCCTTATGGTACATCCCCATGGCAGATTTCTCCCCTGAAGCGAGAAATTGACCGCTCACACTTGCCCAAACGGCTCATTTCTCCCCTGAAGCGAGAAATTGACCGCTCACACTTGCCCTTATGGTACATCCCCATGGCAGATTTCTCCCCTGAAGCAAGATTTCGACCACTACACATGTCCACACGGTCAATTTCTCACCTGAGGTGAGAAATCAGCCACACACATTTGCCCTTATGGTACATCCCCATGGCAGATTTCTCCCCTGAAGCGAGAAATTGACCGCTCACACTTGCCCAAACGGCTCATTTCTCGCCTGAAGCGAGAAATTGACCGCTCACACTTGCCCTTATGGTACATCCCCATGGCAGATTTCTCCCCTGAAGCGAGATTTCGACCGCTACACATGTCCACACGGTCAATTTCTCACCTGAGGTGAGAAATTGACCGCTCTCACTTGCCCTTATGGTACATCTCCATGGTAGATTTCTCCCCTGAAGCGAGATTTCGACCGCTACACATGTCCACACGGTCAATTTCTCACCTGAGGTGAGAAATTGACCGCTCTCACTTGCCCTTATGGTACATCTCCATGGTAGATTTCTCCCCTGAAGCGAGATTTCGACCGCCACACTTGTCCACACGGTCAATTTCTCACCTGAGGTGAGAAATCAGCCACACACATTTGCCCTTATGGTACATCTCCATGGTAGATTTCTCCCCTGAAGCGAGATTTTGACCGCCACACTTGTCCACACGGTCAATTTCTCACCTGAGGTGAGAAATCAGCCACACACATTTCCCCGTATGGTACATCCTCATGGCAGATTTCTCCCCTGAAGCGAGATTTCGACCGCTACACATGTCCACACGGTCAATTTCTCACCTGAGGTGAGAAATCAGCCACACACATTTGCCCTTATGGTACATCCCCATGGCAGATTTCTCCCCTGAAGCGAGATTTCAACCGCTCACACTTGTCCACACGGTCAATTTCTCACCTGAGGTGAGAAATTGACCGCTCTCACTTGCCCTTATGGTACATCTCCATGGTAGATTTCTCCCCTGAAGCGAGATTTTGACCGCCACACTTGTCCACACGGTCAATTTCTCACCTGAGGTGAGAAATCAGCCACACACATTTACCCTTATGGTACATCCCCATGGCAGATTTCTCCCCTGAAGCGAGATTTCGACCGCTCACACTTGTCCACACGGTCAATTTCTCACCTGAGGTGAGAAATCAGCCACACACATTTGCCCTTATGGTACATCCCCATGGCAGATTTCTCCCCTGAAGCGAGATTTCAACCGCTCACACTTGTCCACACGGTCAATTTCTCACCTGAGGTGAGAAATCAGCCACAGACATTTGCCCTTATGGTAAATGCCCATGGCAGATTTCTCCCCTGAAGCGAGATTTCGACCGCTACACATGTCCACACGGTCAATTTCTCACCTGAGGTGAGAAATTGACCGCTCTCACTTGCCCTTATGGTACATCTCCATGGTAGATTTCTCCCCTGAAGCGAGATTTCGACCGCCACACTTGTCCACACGGTCAATTTCTCACCTGAGGTGAGAAATCAGCCACACACATTTACCCTTATGGTACATCCCCATGGCAGATTTCTCCCCTGAAGCGAGATTTCAACCGCTCACACTTGTCCACACGGTCAATTTCTCACCTGAGGTGAGAAATCGGAGAGTGAACCCAAAATGATAGATACAAAGCTGAGCATGTCACATGAGCCATGCGCCCTGTCACAACCATGTCATCCTTGACAAACCCTAGCTACCGCCTCCCCGCCTTGAGACCTCAGGGTTGGGGCGCATTGGGGCGCAATTGGCCGGATGCGCCCCAATACCTTTGCCTTGAGCCTTGAGCCCCTAAATATTGGGGCGCAATTTAATGAAAGTCCGCCGAAAATGCATTTTCGGCGGACTTTCTTGAGATCACTTGAGGCGCAATGTCAATAGTAGCATCAACAAAGGGTGGCCATTTTTCATTTCTGGAGGACTCTATTCACAGCCAGGGAGTGTAGTGCACGTGGCTGGTACAGGCATGTGAGGTGTTCTCAAACATATGATGCTCTGTGTATGTACGTGATGAAGAGGTGTATGGTACATACTGCGCAACCCAGCAGATTATTGCAAGGACTACCTCCAAGCAATAATATCAATCAATAGGTAGGATAGTGCTGGGTCAGCAGGGATATGATGATACCCTGATGCCATTTATACTTGCACAGGGACTATAGTCCAGTGGTTAGCACGCTTGACTGCGCAGCCAGACAGGCAGAGGACCTGGGTTCGATTCCCAGGTATAACCTTTTTCCAAGTTACCATGTCACATGCGTGACAGGTCATATACAGGTCTGAGTGTAAACCTAAGACATGTCATATGATGAGCAACCACAAGTCGACCTAGTCGGTTGAGGTGACCAATCAGGTTTAAAAGGCAGCCACTCCCAGCTCCCACCTCACTTTCGATTTCAATCCCCCTCCTAATTTCCATCTCATCCACTTCATCATCAAGTAAACCAATCGATTCCACCACTAATCATCATTATCAACCACACAAACACCAAACTCATTCACACAGCCACCTCACCCTCAGCTCCAGGTAAGTCAAGAGTGTCAACATAAAGCCACTGAAACGAACTGACATTGACCTCACCATACCATGAGGAATCAGAAAATGCCAAAGGTCAGTTTGGACCCTTCTAATGTAGAAGTCCCCCAATCGATCAATGCACAACTTTCATCAGCAGCTAACATTGATTCGCTTGGGTGTATAGAACACAGCAGTTTCCAACAGCCGCAAAGACGAAGATCAAAGCAACAAACATCAAGAGCTGGATCACTCCATGGAACTTGTGAGTTGCATGAGTGAAGAACAGTAAAAGATTACTGACGCATTCGATCTTGGCAGGACATTGCGACCGAACCGAGCAAGGACATACCAGAGGCTGACATGACAGGAGAGGGAGCAGGTGATGAGGAGTCTGAAGAGGTGTGTTAAGAACGTGTATGTAGTTCAGAGCGATACTGATGACACATTGACGAAATAGGGGCCTGAAATCGAAATCGAAATGGGAGGTGGGGAAGGGGAAATGGAAGTAGAGGAAGGAGAGGACATAGAGATGGAAGTCACCCCAGGCCAAGTAAGTTCCGATTCTCTTGTAACATCAAATTTGTGCATATGTTCATTTCGTCATGAACGCAGGCTATTCCACCAGCCGACCGTAATACCGCGATCGAGAAACTCTCGAAATACAAGATCCCCAAGGCGGAGAAAACAACCAGCGAAGTGAGTAACACTACCAACAACAAGTCAAAGCCCGCCGAAAAAGGATATTCGGCGGGCTTTACTACCCTTCCTGTCGTACTTCTTCCATCATCATTACAAAGCCCACAAGAGAAAGCCCGCCGAAAACGTATCTTCGGCGGGCTTTTCCCCCTATCATCATTACCAAGCCCACAAGAGAAAGCCCGCCGAAAACGTATCTTCGGCGGGCTTTTCCTCCCTATCTTAATACACATTCCATAATTGAAAGCCCGCCGAAAACGTATCTTCGGCGGGCTTTTCCTCCCTATCTTAATACACATTCCATAATTGAAAGCCCGCCGAAAACGTATCTTCGGCGGGCTTTTGTATATTTCCCTGGTAGCTCAGCCCCTATCCTCATCCAATATCTCCACTTCCATCGCATTCCGCTTTATACTTAGCTTAGCATGTTTTGCGCCTTCTCCACAGGATCTGACTCCATCTCAGGCCGTCAGAAAGATGAAGGTTACTAGCGCCTTGAATCGCTACCAACGCTGTAAGTTCCTTCTGACGAGCTACTCAATATGAAGTATTGATATTGATGTGTTCGTTGTTTTGCAGTTAAAGCTATACACGAGGAGTCTTTGAAAGCATTCAAAGACTTTCAAGAAAGTACGAAGAAGGAGGACGATCCCGTCGACTTCGATGGCGAGATTGAATGGATGATGACAGCTCTGTCCATCCAGGATCAGGCTTTGAAGAGGCGAGAAGAGCGACTCAATGAGGCGATAACTGAAGGGCAGGATGAAATCGAGATCATCCCCTTCCGTCATCCGATGCCTAAAGTGGCTTCGACGGAAGGTAAGTCCAAGTTAGGGACTCAC